TGATTATATCTCATTTAGTTTTCGTGATATTGCTATTTGGACGCAACGTGTTTAAGTGTTAGTGACGATTTTTGAAATGTGCTATTTTCTGGAACAACGATGCAAAATTTTACGTGAAACTGGGAAAAACTTTCACCGAAATGTTTCAACTTTTGAAACAAGCTTTCGAAGATGATGCGGTTCGTACGCAGTGTTACGAATGGTTTCCACAATTTAAAAATGGTCGATAGTCAATTGAACATGATCCTAATATAATTTTCATATGTAGCTTTTTAATTCTACGCAAAAAATGTAGTGCTGTGTAAGCTTCTAGGACGGTCAATGATTGAACAATTCTGGGATGGTTGCCAGGTTCTCCTTTCGATCAATAATATTTGCAAATGATTTCCAAACTCTAGATCATTCCAACTTCTCACCACGAATTGAAATTATCTCGATTCTTGTGGATTTCTATTACTTAGGTAACTGTAGATTATGGCTAAATTGTACTCTCGCTGATCAATTATGCTAATCTTTTATGTTGTGATTTTTCAATTAACGCTCGTGCTCCATTAGCCTCGTACCAATGTGTCTTCCTCTTGTGTCCAATATCTACTTATGGTGTAAAAAACTTGTGAAAATTTCTAACATTTTGCAAAAGTTAGGGTTAAATATTCCTAGGTTCTTGTTACGCTCTGTTGCTAACATCAAATACAACCCATTGATAGCATTATTATTGCGCCTGTTATTCTACCCAATAGACTCTATGGAAAATTTTATTTAGAATTTTTGCAAAACACTTTACCCGAGTTATTGGAAGGTGTGCTATTATTACTCAGAGCTAACATGTGGTTTATGCATGATGGAGCTTCACAACATTTCACTATAAATATCTGGCAATATCTGAACCAAAGATTTCCTCGTCGATGGATCAGTAGAAGGGATAATGCTCCCGTTAACTGGCCTGTACGTTCACCAGACTTAACACCTTGCAACTATATCTTTGGGCACTCTGAAACCAACAGTGTATGTTTCCACCAGTTTTTAGATATATAATGTATGTTCGTAATATTTACTTTTTTATGCTGTTTAGGTACGTTATATTTATCTGAATGTGTTTTTAGCTTCAGTGTAGTATTGCTTATATGTTGTATCTTTCGTGTTTTTCTTTCTTTGACTTGTGTAAGCATTTTAATGTATAGACACCAATAAATTTGATTTGATTTGATTTGAAATTTAGATACGATGGGTTAATTTTCGAAGAGATTGGCAATAATAACTAAAAACGCTTCCTTTGCATGAAATGCCTTGAAAACGAAAGATATAGACCCATATTACATAGAAAAAATATTACTTTTTTATATTTCTATTGCCCGTGGTATTATGGTACGTTATTCTGAAATACCCTGTACAAAGTATATTGCACAAACATTTTAGTCATATTAAAATATTAGAGAATACAGCAGTTACTCGTATATTTTTCACGGATACAGTTCGCCCATTTTTCTGTTCCACAACAATGAAATTCCACACCAACAAAGAAAATATCAATTTTACCAAGGGATAATAGAAATTGACTTTTCTAAGGATCCTTTGTTCTCAAAATGAAAATGCTATTCTGTTTGTTTCTCTATACTTCTGCCCGATAGAGGAAATGAGATAAAAATACAAAAAAAATCCCGAGAAGTACTCAGCTAACAATAATAATAATCAACAACAATAACTTAAACTACTGCCTTTGTGAGATATTCAACTACATTAAACTGAAGTAAAACAATTTTAGTTCCAAAAGCTGTAACATCAGGTACAATAAAAATTTGAAAATACGTATCTAATTTAATTTAAAAAAACAATAGTTCTTCTGTAACGAGTTATTTTAAATTTTTGCTTAACGGTAGAGAGCATTAATTATGTCTTCCTACACAGTACAGTGGCTTTCTATCGCATCATACTGTAGGAAGCACAGATAGACAGTGATTTATTCAATTTATGATTGTGAATTTGATTCCATGGGCGTTTCATTTTAGAGAAATTATTAATTATGGAACAATAAATAGATACGCAGATTTTTGTTAAAAAGATATTGCATCAGCGATACCTACGACACTAGAAATAGTCGTTATAACCATTAATAAAATCACTACTTACTGTTGTCACTATCGCTATCACTGTCACGAACGATATCATTGCTACCTCCTAGTGGTATGATAATGGTTCTATAACTTTAACTCTTGTTCCTAGGTCCCGTATATTTTTTTGCATTCCATGTATCCGCAGTTACCCGATTTATCGACTTTTGGGCATCTCCTAATTTAAAACTTGTGTTGTTACATGCCACGTAAGTTTCTATATCCGCCCAGATTAGTTGAATGGGCTTCACCTTACAGTGATATGGTGGCAATCGAAGAAGTGTAACACCACGAGATTTAGTCATTTCATTCACTACATATAATAATCAATATGTTTTCTATTCAGTCGTTTCATGATTTCTCCTTTCCTCTACGCAGATGTTAGCAATTTTTTTATTCGTCGATTATTGTAAGGCTATTATCGATGACAAAAACTGCACCAGATTCGGTGTGAGGCAAACTATTTTTCAAATACTCCTCTATCCATAGCCTCATGGCAATCTACTCTTCCACGCAACTCGAATACATGTAAACTGTTACCTATCTAAAAATCCACACTCACTTCCAATATGTATAAACATTAATTGCCATCTTTCCCGAAGAGTACAAAATCCTTCTAAAAATGCATCCCGTGTGCTGCTGATATTTAAATCTCGCCATACGTTGGAGCCCACGTGTTCTTCATTTATCCATGTTTCGTGGAGATAATAAGTTTTCGTTTTCGATGTATGTACGACACTATTATTTTTTCTAAATATTCTTTTCCCCATACCACAAATTCGTTCTTTTCTATTAACCTACCGTTTCGATTTCCTAAGAAAAGATAATTCATTTCATTCGTAGTTCACTGTAAAGCTCTTCGGGACTTACTATCTAGGCAATTCGTCGTGTTCTACGATTGCGGTTTGAATTATCTTTAATATTGAAAGTTTGACTTCATTGTCAATTTCAATTTTTTCCTGCACGTTTTTCTCTGTTTTCTTTTTTTTATTACCACCTTGTAACGCATGATAAACACTTCTGACAAACAGCTACTAAATAACTAATTTAAATTTGACAATAATAATCCGCGTTTTGGACTAGCACGCATATGACATAGAAGGAAACGTCTATGCTGGAAACTGATACAATGAGAAATGAAACCAAACAGCGCTGGTCATCTCTTTTTTTCTCTGAATAAACTACGCAGAATTCGAAAAAATGTAGTGAATTTTTTTATTAAAAAAGTCTAATTAATTAAAAAATAATATTATTTCCTTGATAATAGAAAGGAATAAAAAAATCGAAAAATTTCTATTAAGGGTACTTAGAAAACTATCCTTTCCAGGATAACCGATTTTATGGTATGATTGTTACCTACAGTTTTCGTTCCATGTTCTTAATCAGAAAGTTATTTTAAAAAATATCCAAACGATAAGATCCCTTTGGAGGGCCACATTCAGTAGGTAACGGTGCTATGGAGGACCAATGTTTATAAGAACTTTTTTAACTATATTTGGCTCAACTTTCACCTCCTTAAATATTGTACCAACCTTTCCAAACACCCTGTATAGATAGGGTGCCTCAGTGAAAACTAAACAGAACGAATAACTTTCAAGAAAATAATTTTTCCAAAAAACGTCGAGACAGGTCGATTTTTGATCGAAGGGGGACATCTTTTCACCCTACCCCCTCTAGGGAGGGGGGCACCCCCAAAAATCTTAATAGGGAAGAAGTTATTATCATTAGTTAAAAAAGTAAACTAGTTTTTGTAATAAAAAATTTGTTAATCTACCATTAAAATTTGGCCAACGGTGACACCCTGTATAAAGAGTACTCTGATTTCATACCCAGACAACAGAAGCTGACTAAACTTTTCGAAATATTAACTAATGATGAAAGGTTCATAAAATAATCCCTTTTCGCGCAAACGGTTAATTACTATTTTTTTTCAAACATTTAAATTATCATCTTACATACGAATACTGAAATAGAAAATATCAAAGTATTTTTTTAATTTTTTTCTTCGCTGACGTTAAAACCGTTTTATGAATTTTAAAAATTATTGCGAATTAACTGTTAGAAAAATTACAGTAATTTTAGAGATAATATTTTTAATTGCTATACCTACTCTTTCAATATATTATGTAGGTACATAAAACCTCAGCTTCTTTTTATTTCAATTAAAAGCACCAAAGTTTTCCTACGCAAATCAATATGTTTATGGTTTATTTTATAAAAAAATGTATTATATCATTTTAATAAATACTTATCTTATTGCCTACACTATTTTTAGATTTAGAGTAGTTGCGGGGTATCCAGGATAAATCTCAACCATTATCTTATCCTGCTCTGACTAGTAGTGACGTTGATCGTTGCTGTGGTAACTGGCACAGCATGCCTGACGTCAGAGCAGACGGCAAATGGGCGTCGGCAGTGTACTACTACACAGAAGCCAATAATAACCACAGCAATATTTGCACCATGCCCTCACGCAGTAGCGTGAAATAATACTTAAATTCGATTAAATTTATTATTATTATAATTTTTATTTTTAAGAATTATAAATAAAAGTCCAATAAACTGAGCTATTAGTCTTCGAATTATATAGTTTTAGATAAGAATAATTGCGAATGATACCTACTACGGATGTCACAAGTATATACCATTGGAAAGTACTATAATTCTGCAATTTATAAATAACCTCATTTTCCCTTTAATAAAATTAATTATTATTAATTAATTAATTATTTATCTAAATATTTAATCAATATACATATTTTATCTATGATATTTAATGTTTGTGCGAAAGTTTTACTATTTTACTCAGTCCTGCCCTGTTCTGTTCTGTGATAGGGTAGCATTTTAAGAAATAAGGAAGAGAAACACACATGGCGGGCTTTGAACTGTCACCAAACAAAGTTTTCTAACCTCACTTGTCAGTTCGTAGGAAGATACTGATTTTGTTTTATGTTTGTCTTTAAATTAAAGTGTAACCTTCAAAAATATGACACAGCGGCTGAAATCATATCCAAATGCTGTAAATTTGGAAACTATAGCATGTGAAAAGTATATGTCAAGACTTTTACAAAGAGAGAAAGTAAGTATGCCACCCGCAAAGTCTGGCCCGGCATTTTTAACTTCACATAAATACAAGGAAAAAGTGGTAAAACAAACTCCAATTACACCGGCTATTCAAAATCAACTCAGTAGAGTTAGACCAAATGTGAAACAACAAAATTTACCTTCTCCCAATCCGGAACAAAGTCAAGCAAGTGATGACTTTCAGTTTACTGATGATTCAGCTTTAGTTCAAGTTACAGTTAAAACAACAAATCCTAGGCAAAGATCAAGATCAACAGTAGCCAACGGAGAGCCTTGGGGTCAACTCTTAAAGCAACAGAAAAGTAGCGACAAAGTTTCAGTGTTTAGTAATTTTGATCCATTAAGGACTTTACATTTTCTCGCAAAAGAGTTGCAGTTTCAATTGCAGGCACTTTTACCTGGTAAGTTTATTTCCTTCAAATACTTATATTACTTTAATTTTGTTTATAAAAAAACATTCAAATTATAGCAAAACTTCCCTTTGTTTGTCAGCCTTTTGACTTATCTGATAGCGTAGCTTTTAAAATAAAAACTTAAATTTTTTGCAATCAACCATCCTCAAAACCATCTGTCCAGGCAGATGTCAAATTTGAAATGAAAACTGGATACACCAAATAATATTGTGCAATTAAAAACTTATTGCAAGAATCAGTTTAATAACCATGAGGAATGAAAAATAGTTTATTTCTATATACCTAATGTATAATATGCTTACATTTATTTTCATTTGAAAATAGAATGTATCTAAATTAGTCAAAAATGGCATATTTGTGACTGGAGTTAAAAAATTTTTATAATAAAATTAGACAGTAGGTATACAGGTTGATTCATTAACATTGGGAAAATCGAAACCCGAAGATACTACACGTGGAATGGTGACCATTGGCGCAAACATGCCTTATCTGAAAGTTGATAGTTTCGGAAATACAGGGTGTTGAAAGTTAAAATTTTAAATCGTTTTTTTGTGATTATTTTGAAAATATGTAGGTTTGGCACTTGAAAATTTGTGAAACTATATTTTTTTAGTCGACGAATAAGATGCGTGTTGTAATTTCAGCATTGCTCGTAGAGGGCGCCACTTACGACCAATTTTACCGAAAATTTAGTTAATAACTTTTTACCCTGTATGTCTAACATGAAACTTGATTCAAAACCTGAAAGAGCAATCATTTTTCCATTAATTGTGTATTCTTGTTTCATTTCGGTATCTCGATCCGTTTTCGAGAAAAATCGATTTAACGAACACTATGTTTTGATAATACGAGAAATTAAAAGCGAAACAAACCAAGTGTTTCTTCGTGTTATTACAACAATTAACAATAAAACAAATGAAATTCGTAATAATGATTTAAAGTCAGTGTTCGAAGAATCCACCGTTGACATTTACACACTTTACACAACGTTTTCTGAGAGATCTTCGAGTTTGAAACAACATATTGGGATTGCGTTTGACTTCGTTGGCAGCGATTTGTATTCTTTGCCACAACTCTTCACACGAACCAATAGATTCTTCCAAATAGAAAAATGAAGAGGATTGAAGTCCGGACTTCTGGGTGGCCAAGTAAAAATGCTTCCACGGCTTGAAGAAGTTCCACTTTATTTAAGAAGAGACATGTGGTTCATGCACGACGGAGCTCCACCGCATTTTTCTTGGCCAGTGCGTGCATATTTAGATGCAGTTTTTCCAAATCGCTGGATTGGCCATGTAAGCATTTTTGCTTGGCCATCCAGAAGTCCGGACTTCAATCCTCTTGATTTTTCTATTTGGTCTCGAATGAAAGATATAGTTTACAAAGAATCTATTGGCTCGTGTGAAGAGTTGTGGCAAAGAATACAAATCGCTGCCAACGAAGTCAGACGCAATCCCAATATGTTGTTTCAAACTCGAAGATCTCTCAGAAAACGTGTAAAGTGTATCAGTGTCAACGGTGGATTCTTCGAACAATTACTTTAAATCATAATTACGTATTTTATTTGTTTTATTGTTAATTGTTGTAATAACACGAAGAAACACTTGGTTTGTTTCGCTTTTAATTTCTCATATTATCAAAACATAGTGTTCGTTAAATCGATTTTTCTCGAAAACGGATCGAGATACCGAAATGAAACAAGAGTACATAATTAATGGAAAAATGATAGCTCTTTCAGGTTTTGAATCAAGTTTCATGTTAAATATACAGGGTAAAAAGTTATTAACTAAATTTTCGGTAAAATTGGTCGTAAGTGGCGCCCTCTATGAGCAATGCTGAAATTACAACACACATCTTATTCGTCGCCTAAAAAAAATATAGTTTGACAAATTTTCAAGTTCCTAACCTACATATTTTCAGAATAATCGCAAAAAAATGTTTTAAAATTTTAACTTTTAACACCCTGTATTTCCGAAACTATTCACTTTCGGATAAGGCATGTTAGCGCCATTCGTCACCATTTCACGTGTAGTATCTTCAGCTTTCGACTTTCCCATTGTTAATGAATCACCCTGTATAAATATATAGCAAATAATCAAAATTTTCTGTAAAATTTTAAAATTGTTTTAACTTTTTCTATAATTTATCTGTACCTATGCTCTTCTTTGCAGATGACAATACAGTACAACAAATGGTTGCCGATATGCAAAGTGCGCTAAAAAGGGTTCCCCCTGAAATTGCATCAACAATCCATTTGCAACAAGCTATAGATTTACTACCTAAGAGGAGTTCAAGATCTTTGCACGATGAAAGACCGGTAGGTATATATTTTTAATTCTATACCAGTTCTACACCATATCCATTGTTAATATCTTAATATAAGTAATCTATTACATCATCATAGATAGTGGTGATTGTGAAATGTGAAGTGGTCATATTTTGATAATAAAAATATAAAGATTAGTCCTGATTTAGTGAAGTTAATTTCATATAAATGTTGTATTGTTTAGAATACATCATTATGTAACATGTTCAAAATGTAGAAGCATTTTATTTGTCAAAATTTAAAAATATGTTCATGTATAAACATTTGAATTTGAAGCTTTTGTTTTTGAGATACAGGGTACTAGAGTTTGAAAAAAAATGTCGGTTTTAAAAATTGAAACGAAAAATCTCAGATTAAACCAGTAGCGTAGATATGAAATTTCCTGGTTAGGTTCTACTCAAAAATGATTCTGCCCCACTGGAGAAACTTAATTTCTTGTGTAATTTTTGATGTACCAATTTTATTTCAAACAAAAATGATCCTTACTATTTTACTACAATTATTTTGTTTTAAATTATATATTTTTTATTATTTTTAATTCTGCATTTATTGATGTGACACTTGTGGTAGTTTAATTACGTTTTGAATACCTTAAGACCAAAGAAAGCTCAAAAAATGGATTTAATGTTTTTAGTTGTAAGAAAAAGATTTGAAACGACAAATTAAGTTGTTACAATATATCAACTGAGAAACTGTCTTGTCTGAATTAAAAAAATAGTTTTAAAGACTTTGAACTTTCTTAGGCGTAGTATGTTTAATTCTATTTACATTGTAATTAACCCACTACAAGTAAAAGCAAAATTAAAAACATTTTAAATATATGTATTTTAAAAAAAGGATGTATTGGAAAAAATTAAGTTGATGATTTTAGATTAAAAATAAAATATCATTATGTCAAAACTAATGTTTTCATAAAAAAATATCTCATAGAGTAGCCATAAAGAAGTGTTCTTTTGTTTTCTTTGATAATATCAGAAAAAAATAACAGAAATAAGCAAATTCAAATAAATTCAAAAAATAAAACGAAAAATTCAGTTTTTACAAAAATATGTTAAAAACTAAAATAAATTATCTGATATCTGTTTACACCATTTCAGTGGTTGCATCTAATGGTGCAACATTTTCCTAATTTAAGCTGTAATATATTTTTAACCATTTTTGATGTCTCCATGATAATTTTTTTTTTCTTGAACACGGTGTGCATTTATAGTAATTACATACCATAAATATATTTTTTAGGAGAAATTGAAAGCAAACTTATCTGAAAAAGCTGTACAAACTCTTCCAACTACAGAACATGAAGAATACGAAAAATTGCAAAAAGTAATGGAAGACAGTACGGTAAAACTTGAAGCTAGTTGCAGACAAATGGAAACTTTGTGTGAGCAATTGAGGTTTGAGAAAATAAACCTCGAGAAGCAGTTACAGGTGGAACAAAATAGTGTGATATTTTTCAAAAAGAAGTTGGAAGATCTTGAGTTTGAAAATGTAAGCTTTCGACATACTAATTTGCAATAATTGTAGAATGTGAGAATTTTTATAAAAATGAATTTGAAATCTGAATTCAAATTTTATCACTTTCTGCTAGGCATGTTTCAGAAAAATATATTTAAGTACTAAGTCAAGTGAAAATGTTTTCAAAAATGAAAATTATCTAGGATGCAAAAAATCTGAGGGATAAGAGGTAAATTGAATACAGGGTGATTCACAAACGATGACCAAAAATGAAACCTTGTATTCTTTGGTGAATTTTAAGGGGTCTTTAGTATAAAGTTTTTATCCAAGATGCTTCGTTAAAAAGATACAGGATGTCAAACTTAAAAAAATATTTAAAATTTGTTTAAATAGTTTAAAAACTGGTAAGTGAAATAATTTGAAACTGAGCATTTATGTCAACATTGTCCAAAATCTGAGACCTTTGACTAAAATTTAGATACTCAGTGGCGGAGATACAGGGTATCAGTGGCATATTTTTCTAAATATGTAAAATAGTACGCCACTGCTTTACGGTAAAAATCATATTTTCACATTCGTCTTTCAATTTTCTACAAATTACTACTCTTATATTTTTCGAAAAAAGCCTGATATTCAAGTAAGACTTAAAAAACGAACTGAAAACGATGGATTTCTTTTTGTGGGGTGCTGTTAAACAGCTGGTATACAGTGAACAAATTAATACATCTGAGCAGTTAGGAGAAAGAATAAATAATGTTTTTCATCAGATGCAAGCAACAATAAATTTCAAGCAAATTACATTTACGTTACTAAACAGATGTCGTGTTGTTCTGTATCATCCTCTGTAGTGTTTTCACAGGGCAAAAAGTCAATAACAATTGACATGATTTTTCGGGCCAAAACAACGGTTTTGAATTTATTTGCTGATTTCCTTAAAAATTTGAAACAGCGCTTTTCTCTTTCAAGAAGAAACCGGATTACGCTCCTCACATCGCGTTGACCGTTTCGGAGTAACGGCACTCATTTCAACGCACCACTACAACAACAGTTCTCAACTGACTAAGATAAATGAGCATGCATTCTGCTCCGAACACTTTAGCCTTGAATGTAGTATTGCCAACTTTGTCGAAAACAAAAACCACAGAGCGTCAGAGTCTCAGTACTCTTACTTCGTGAATATGCCTCGTAATTGTTTCGAAATATCTTTGAAGAAAAATATTTATATATTTTTTTAACGATACATCATTATTCCAGAAAGACATATTAAACCCAAGAATAAAAAAATTAGAAGAAGAAAAACATAAGTTGGAATCTAAATTGGACGAACTAAAAAAGAAAATAGAAGCTCAGCCAGCTGTACCGACGCCTGAAGTAAAATCCTTAATGAGTGAACTGAAAAATTCTAAAGCAGCTGTTGAACAAGAATGTTCCAAAGTAAAACACCAGTTGAGGCTATGTGCGATAGAAAAAGAAAAATATATAGCCGTCTTAGCTGTTCGAGATCGTCAGATAAGTGAGATAAGGAATGAAATGACACAACTTCAGGAAGTCGTAAATGAGCAGTTGATGGAATTGCATAATAACGCCTTCCAAAGGATGCCAAGCAACAGTAGTATTGCAGGTTTGTTTTTTTATTCAACTTTAGACGTTGGTGATACATATTAATTTGGAGAAATTCTCTTTAACACTTTAAAGGTGTTTTCCCCGAAACATGATTTTTTTAAATGGCATGCAGCGTAATCCCAACAATTTTCATTTTATTTATTCCAAATTTTGGCCGTATGTTTAAAGTAACATATTGTACATACCTACGGGATTTTCGATAAGCTGTCTTTAACATTATACAGGGTGTCCCAGAGCTGTCTTGACAGGCATTATCTCGGAAACTAGTCCAGATAGAAAAAAATGTTATATAGAAAAGGGTTTCTGCTTAAAAAGATGCGTTTAATCATCTTATTTTCAGATATACAGGGTGCCCCAAAAATATGGTACATTGCGGAATTTCAATTTTTTAAATGCAACACCCTGTATATTTTTAAGTTTTTGGGTTGTCCTTATATTTCTGAACATATTTGATTAACTATGTTCTATACCTATCATTAACCGTTCTTGAGGTAATGTAGAAAGCATTTTTGGAGTAACATTTTTTTAATAATATAATACTCTCAGGGATAATACAAAATAAAAAACATTTTAGCCATTATAAAATGTACTCAAATTGCCGGACATTTTTATTTTGACACAATTCTTACCTCCTAAAAAGCACTTGTGTACAAGAAGACCGTATAACTTCTGGAGATATTTGACGGCAAGCACGAGTGATTTTATTCTGTAGAAACTGTCACCATGAAAGATGCCCACTATGTCAAAATGTTTAAAAAAATTACTGTTCTGAGCCATTACATTATTTAAAAAATATTTACTTCCTACTAAACTACCCAGAATTCGGAAAAAAAAGTAGCGACATTTTTTCTTCAAAAAAGTCTAATTCATTAAAAAATAATATTATTTGCTTGATAATAATTCAAAGGAATAAAAAAAAATTTGAAATATTTCTGTTAAGGATAGTTACAAAACTATCCTTATTTATAACCGATTTTGAGTAAACTTATGGTAGTTAAAGACCCTTATGGTATGATTATTACCTACAATTTTCATTCCGTTATCTTAATCAGAAAGAAAGTTATTTTAAAAAATATCCAACTGATAAAACTCCTTTGGCGGACCATATCTCAGTAACGATGCTCCGGAGGTCCAATGTTTATAAGAACTTTTTTTACTATTTTTGGCTTTACTTTCACTCCCTTAAATTTTGTTTCATCTTTTCCAAACACCCTGTATATAAAACATCTACACCAAAACAGATCCCGCCTGTTCTATTAATCAAATAGGTTCAGAAATAAAAGGAGAACCCAAAAACTTAAAAATATACACCAAAACAGATCCCGCCTGTTCTATTAATCAAATAGGTTCAGAAATAAAAGGAGAACCCAAAAACTTAAAAATATACAGTGTGTTCCATTTAAAAAATTGAAGTTTCGCAATATACCATCTTTTTGGGGCACCCTGTATATTTGAAAATAAGATGATTAAACGCATATTTTTAAGCAGAAAACCTTTCATATAACATTTCTTTCTATCTCAACTAATTTCCGAGATAATGCCTGTCAAGGTAACTCTGTGACGCCCTGTATACTTATTGACAAATGATTGCTCCTTCTTTTTTGTCAAAAATTAATGTTTTCAAAATTCCTTATACATATATTTCTCTAAGCAAAATACTGATGTAGATTAAGAGAAAATTTTTTGTTTTCTCCGTTTTCAAACTTACGTCTGTTATGCTGCATGCCGCAGCACATTTCAAATTCAACATGCCTTTCAAGAATACCTCTAGCGTCGCCATATTGTACTATTTACGAATAAATATATTTATCTTACCCCTAAACCATATTTTTTTCTAGCCACCAGTAAAATTTAATCAAACATTTTAGTTGTACCCTGCATAGAAAAAATAAACATATATTTGTAGAATTGTTCTTGTTTTTTTCCAGTAAATCCTGTACATACTTGGATCGTGAATCAAAATAAAGAAAATGTTGGCGATACAGGTGATGTTACCCTATCAACTATTCATAGTAACGATGATGAATTTCATCAGTACTACATACGGAAACCTTCCCCTAAAGACTTACCTTCTGGAGATAAATGTGGTGCGCCACATATTTTACAGGAAGTGCCAGAAAATTGTTATGAAAAAAAAATGGAACATCCAAAGGTAAGATTAAACATGTGTATAAATCTAGTCACACATTTAGCAAAATGATCTACCCACTTGTTAATTCAAAAAGGTTATCCAATCACTATTTTATATAAATCAGGTTAGGTAATATACAGGGTGTCCACAAATTTCACCGACAGCGTTTGACTGACCTGTATTATTAGTGGAGTAAAGGTAGCTTAAAAATATGCATTATTTTGGAATAATTAGCAGAGTCTTGGATTTTCATAAAACCTTTTGCAATCGCCTTGAAATGGCTTATAGAAAAAAGTTATAAACTTATCGTCCCTATTATCATGTAGAGATGTATGTGTATAGCCATATCTTGGATTATACGCCCCTACGTGATAAGAGAGACGTTATATTTGTACGCTAATTATTATTTAATTGTTTAAACAATAAAAAATGGTTCTTCAAACATTTTAAATAATATATAGGTGTTTTCGAGGTCACTGAATAAGAATATAATGTTAAAAAATAAAAATTCAGAATGGCCGATCCAATATGGCCGACTTTTTTAAAACAATTTATTAAAAAATTACAATTTTCAAAGCAATTTTAATCAAATAGATATTAAAGGGGTTTTCGAAGTCGCTGAACAAAAATATTCAATCCAATATGGCCGACTTTTTTAAAAAATTTATTTTAAAATTACAAATTTCAAAGTAAATTTAGTTAAATTGACATGATAGGGGTTTTTGAGGTCTCTGAACAAGAATATTATATCAGAAAATGAAAATTCAATATGGCTAATCCAATATGATCGACTTTTTTAAACAATTTATTTAAAAATTATATTTTCAAAGCAATTTTACTCATATTGATATTTTTTATATTTTTCAGATCATTGAACAAATATAAAGTGACATCAACTCATTAAATTTTAAAGAAATTTGGGTATGATGTTTAGGGTTCTGCAAAAAGTCAATATATGGGATTCTTAATTAACAAATTTATTAAATATGAAAAAGGATTTGCATATTAAAAATAGAAATGTAAAAGAATAACAACATTCAACTTTCATTCTCTTGAATCACTGTAAGTTCTGGCAATTGGTCTGATTCTCGTTCTTCTTCGAAAAATGCTTGGCAATTGAGACAATCAGTTCCGAAACAATTAGAGCTTCATGCTATGGTGCAAAGTAGACCCGCCTTCCGACAATCACAATTATTAGCACAGCCACTTTTGCATCTGCAATAAATCATTTTAAGAAGTTCACTTGGTGCTGGATCTTGAGTCATAAAAGTTGGAGTCATACGCGAATCCTCTCGTTTCCAACCCCAGTCTTCTGCTTGCAATTTTCTGTCAAGCCAAGCCTGCACTTGGTAATATATCCTTTTGAAATGCAAATTAGCTGCATCTTCTGATGGTGGAAGGGCAGTTAAATTCATTTTTTTCGGTTTTGTTGTGTCGTTGCACCATATGAGGCTAATAAACATGTTACACCAGCATTGCAAATTGTATTAATGTCTTGATTTGGTTTCAGAAAAATATCAATGTCTTCTTGCAAATATCTCTTTCCCTTGCGCATTTTAACAAACTTCACTTTGCTTTTTCCAAAAAACATGATGTAGTGTCAGATCCAGTAAAGGCATAAATAAATAGAATTTGCTCTTTACAAGACGAAATTTCTGTCAAATAACTTTTTGACAAGTATACTTTTCGTTCTGTAGTAACTTTTCCTAGCTTCAGAAAATAAATTTCTCTATCTACTGGGCACAAAGCTGATAAAATGACAAGTACATCAATGTCTTCTGCAATAATGACGTTTTCGTGTTGTTGCTGAATCGCTGTTTTCACAATAAGCACGTCGGCATCATCTTCAGCTTTGTGGACAATAATATATTTTTCTTCTAATTTTTTTTCCAATTGAAGAATGAATCTCTCTTTATTACCAGTATTTGAAAGAAAATTACCTTTTGCAGTAGTAAGAGTCGTTTGATGTGAAAAAAATTTCAGTTGATCGATGTTTCAACTATACTTTCACTATAGGTACACTATACTACTACACTATACTTCCAACATTCTCCCTTTCCTCCATTAGACACGTAGCATGCGCCAGGTGAACTCCATTCACCGAGCAAATGTTCTCTCTATTTCTAATTTTCAAGAATATAATTCTCGAATAACGAGAATGAATTACATTACCAGATAAACTTCTACTACATAATTTCATCATGAAAAAATATAGGTAAAACTGAATCTCGATACAATTTATTGGAAAACCGTATTTTTTTCGTATTTTACGAGGGTGGTCTGAAAAGTTTCCGACCTCAACATGAAGATGGCAGCACTCGTAAATAAAAGCTAGTGAATTTCGTTGTTCATCTGTTGACAGTTACTCACCAAAGTTTCAGCCATTTTGGACGCCCAGTTGTTATGTAACAGTCATTTGAGTGAGTTGATATGAGTGTTTTTATGAAAATGGACAAAATCGAGTATCGAGCTGTCATTAAATAATTGTTTTTGAAAGGCAATACGCCTACGCAAATCAAAGATGAGTTGGATTCTGTGTATGGGGACTCTGCACCATCATTTACCACAGTGAAATTATGGGCAGCCGAATTTAAACGTGGCCGTAAGAGCTTGGGAGACGATGAACGTTCGGGACATCCAAAAACTGCAACTACCGACGAAAACATCGCCAAAGTTCACCAAATGGTGCTAGACGACCGCCGAATTAAAGTGAGAGATAGCAGAGGTTATGAACATGTCAAAAGAACGTGTTTGTCACATATTAAATCAACATTTAAACATGAGAAAGCTGTCCGCGCATTTCCAATGCTCTGTTGGCGCAGTTTAGGCGCAATAAATCCAAGTTTTGGCGCCGATTAATTACTGTAGATGAAACTTGGATACACCATTATACGCCCGAAACAAAAATGCAGTCCAAACAGTGGACTGCAAAGGGGGAACCGGCTCCAAAAAAAGTAAAAACTGTTTTTTCGGCTAGGAAAGTGATGGCGACTGTTTTTTGGGATAGTCATGGAGTTATTTTAATCGATTATCTTCAAAAAGGAGAAACTATTACAGGAGCATACTATGCATCATTACTTGACAAGCTGAAGGCAGAACTTGCGGAAAAACGGCCACATTTGCAGAAAAAGAAAATCCTGTTTCACCAAGACAACGCACCGTCTCACACCTCAGCGGTTGCCATGGCGAAAATCCACGAATTACGGTTTGAACTGCTTGACCATCCGCCTTACTCACCAGATCTAGCCCCAAGCGACTTCTTTTTGTTCCCTCATCTAAAAATTGCGCTCGGTGGACAAAGATTTTCGTCAAATGAAGAGGCAATCACCTTCGTGAACAATTATTTTGCAGAGAAAAACGCCTAGTAGTATTTGGACGGGTTACAGAGATGGGAGCATCGCTGGGAGAAGTGTGTAGAGTTACAAGGAGACTATGTTGAAAAATAAAAAAAAAAATTGTGAAAAAATGTCTTGTATCTTTGTTAAGTCGGAAACTTTTCAGACCATCCTCGTATACAATATTATAGTAACAAAAAAAAATTTATTTCGTTGATTATACTTCTTTTAAGATCATAGTTTGAAAATATACTGGTTAAACAAGCAAAAAAAATTTTTTTTACTTTATTTATTTAACAAATTTCGTTTTAGAAAAAAAAAAATTTTTTTTGTTTTTCTTTAAATTTTATTATAAATTCAATGTTTTAAATAAAACAAAATGGACTATCTTAAAGTACAGTTTTGAATCTTCAAACATTGCTCCTGTAGAGTTGCAATATCATATTTTACTAAGACTAAAATTATTGGTCTTTGAAACGTGACATAAAAAATCAAATTTGCCTTTTTTTAAAATTATTGAATATTTCGGGCGTTGTATTTTTCAAATTAAAATTTTAAGATTTTTTTTATATCTCACTATAAAAAAAATAATAATTTCTAAGATACACGATAAATTTTGTTTAAAACTAGCTTAAATAATGTGACCAAGCCTTAAGTCATATTTAGATGAATACCATCTAACCAGGGACCAGCCAGCCAAGTTTGGGACTTTCCTTTCGAATATATTAAAATAAGTGAAACTATTTGGCAACACGCAATTCTTTATATTTAAACTAATTTTTGAGTCGTCTTATGACTGTATATGTGTTTGTGTGTATGGGGTATGCTTTGTAAAACTACTCATTATTTAGTTTTCATGCAATTTTTACATCAAATAACGCTCCAGCTTGTATAATATTAATTAGCTGTACTCAGTCTCGCGGACCACCTGGAGGACCTTCGGGCCACCTGTTGGGAACCACTAATTCTAAACCATTAAAGACAACAAAAATAAAATGGTCAAAAAGTTACAGGACAATACGAGAAGTTTTTTTTTTCAAAAGATTAGTGCCGTCAAAAATCTAGATGTGAAAAAGTTTAAAAAAGTATCACCTTGTAGATTTCATTGAATGGTAATTCATATATTCAATTGATCCCCAAAATGTAAAATGGGCATTCTTTGAGATTTTCTTTTAAATGGAAGAAAAAGTAAGAGATAAGAATATTCAAGGATGTTATTAATCATGCCTTTAAGTATTCAATAAATATATTTATTCATAAATAGTACAAAATGATGACACTGGTGCCATTGTCGCGAATCATGTTAAATTTTAGGCCATCTGCAGCACGTGTAACTAACGCAAATTTGAATATGAAAAAAATAAACCATTTTTACTTAATCTACATGAGTATGCTTAGAGAAATATGTAGGGGATTTTGAAAACATTAATTTTTGTGTTATGGACGAGCGTTTGAAGTAAAATCAATTTTTGAGAAAAAAATCAACTTATCAAAAATCAGGTAAATTCTTCTCTCTACAATGTTATTTTAAAGATATGGTCAAAATTTGAAGTGAATAGAATGAAAATTGTCGGAATTATGCTGGGCGCAGTTTTAAAAAATCCTATTTTGAGAAAAACGCCTTTATTTAAATCAATAAAAAAAATAGCTTTTCTGAAATTATACAGTGGTCTTACCTCTCAAATGGATTATCTTAAAAAAAAAACATGTAAAAGAAATGATAATAATAACACTTTATCACCCTGTCAACAACATATCATTTTTATACCAACATGAGCTTTTTTCTTATTATTGTCATTGTCATCATCCGAATTGGAAGACCTTTTATTACCGTAAACCGTATAACCGTAAAATAAAATATGTGGTATTCAGTTCTATATTTATTATAATTTAAGCTTGCACTTTTTTACGTTTATAAATCCTCTGTCTAACAGGATAAGAGATGTCAACACTCAAGATTGCCGGAGTCACCTTCATTTTTGGATAGACCTGATTCTCAAGTTAGTATTAGAAATATGTTCAATGAACTAAAAAAGACAGCGTATGCAATAGGAAATGTTTCCCATAAATCCAGTCAACAAAATGTAAATAATAATAGGCAATAATTTGTTTTTTCTTGTTTTCAAATTTTACTGGTTTTTTGACAACGAAATATAAATGTATATATAAAACTTTTTCAATTACATGTATTTATTTATATATTGTTTTTTTTTCTCTCTAAAATATTTTTTCTGATGGAATGTCAGCGAAAAATGCAGCTATTAACACCAACCAGCTTAGTTACAAAAAAAAGGTAAAACACTACAATACAGAAAACAAAAGTGACAAAAAAAACACTATTAAGCTAATACGTACTAACTTATAGAAATACATCTACTATTTATTGTGTATTATAATTTAAAACAGCCTTAATAATATTTAAACATACATATACAGTACGCGCCTAAAGTATGGAATAAATTCAGTAAAAACGAAACAAATTTTTTTTTGGGAAAAATCCTCGGACAGGTCGATTTTTAATTTAAAAAATACATATTTTACCATAAAATGCGATTTTCAACCATCATTTGTTTTCGAGTAATTACATCATCGACATTTTTTTAAATATTTTTTTCTTGATTTTGAAAGCGTTTCATTGTCGATCCGACAGTATTAAAATGTTGCCATCTTACATAGGAAAGTTTTCGAGTAAATGACGATTGAATATTAGAAAACCCAAATCAATTAAAATAAAGCAAAAACGTTATCAAATTTAGTTTTTCAAAATGCCTGAAGTTTTTTATAGATCACGTAGGTGTAAATCTTTACAAAGTGTCACTGTCATACCGACTTTCTAAGTATTGTAAGCGATATAAAAATTATTGTTGAATTTAAAGTATGATGACACTTTTAACTGTCACACAAAGAATTGAAATTTTAATTCTTATCGGATGTGGGGATAAGACTAGAACACAGCAGGAAGTTTGCGATTTATTTAATGAAAAACATCCAGATCGCCGTATCAGCCAATCAACAGTCAGTAAGATAGAATCTAAATTTAGAAAAACTGGCAATGTTGTAGATATTCCAAAACCTGGACGTCCAAGCGTTAGTGAAGATCACAAACAGAACATTTTGGTAAGTATTGTAGATAATCCTCATAATACTTCACGATTGGTTACGTTAAACAATGAAATTAGTCAGACCACAGCGCTACGTATCCTGAGGGAAGGAAAAATATCATCCCTACAAAATTCAACTTGTGCAGGAACTCAATGAAGATGATCCCGACCACATAATTTAGAAGAACTTCAAAATTATATTATAGATGAAATACACAGAGTTACCCCAGAAATAATTCATAATGTGCAAGAAGAATTTCTACACAGACTTGCGTATTGTCAAGAAGTCGGTGGGTGGCAATTTGAACACTTAATTTAGGTAGGAAACTTAATGAATTGTATTTGTTTGACATAGGAATTGTTATTTTTTTTAATGAATAAAATTTACGTTTTCTAACATTCAATCGTCATTTACTCGAAATCTTTCCTATGTAATATGGCAACATTTCAATACTGTCGGATTGACAATGAAACGATATTTCAGATTCAAGAAAAAAAATAGGGTGTTGCTATTTAAAAAAAATATTGATGATGTCATTACTCGAAAACAAATGACGGTTGAAAATCGCCTATTATGCTAAAATATGTATTTTTTAAATTAAAAATCGTTTGCTTCGTTTTTACTGAATTTATTCCATACTTTAGGCACGTACTGTATTTATACACATATTTATAATTTTGTCTTAACTTTGGAAAGATACATTTTAATTTTTTTTAAAGATTCACAGGGCAACAAAATTTGATGAAAGATCACACCCAAAAACCAGACCTCACTTGCCCAACGGTTTTTGGTGCGCAGAATCCAAATTCGGCGTCAGAATTGCTCCTATACGTCACGTTTCCGAGATATCCTAACCTAAAAGTGCAAAAAACATGTTTTTTTGCTATATTTGAGCTATCGAAGAGTGAATTTTTTTTTCTTTCTAAAAACGAATCGTGCCTTCTAAAACTAGGTACCACTCTTACCATTCAAAACGCTTTTCTCAGATTTGAGAAATCTTTTTTATTCACGATTATTGAATGAAGTTAAGTACTTTAGCGTTTTCATAGCAGTGGTACTGAAATTGAAAAAAGTTCTTCAGAAAGCGAATCTTTACATGTTTTTTGGATCGTTCAAATAAATAGAATTTTATAGCACCTATTTTATATCGGCAAATTCAACTACTTTTGCCGCTATTATTATTAATTAATAAAATTAATTTATGGTTTTAATTAATAAAATAATTTGACATACCTGATGTTACAACAACTATTCAAAAGTTTGTCCACCGATTTGTAAACACATTTGGTCCTGTCTTACAAGTTTCTACGAACTAACACAACTGTTGTCCTGCTGCACCATAACACAAATGTTTCACCATGATACAAATGTTGTCTTGCTTCACATGAATTAAAACGATATCCATCAACTCCGAGTTGCTATACATACAAGCTATTTTTGAACTAGGTACTAAAAAGCTATTGTAAACACTATCGCAACGCCGATTGTATTGGGAGCCGTTGAGGCCACGTGGCTCTTACACATATTGCGAATGACGCTAGAGACTACAGTTGTCCAGCGATGTAATGCTTGAAAGTAGTACAACTTCAATAATTTTTCTCTGGGAAACTATAAGAATTTTACAAAAATTTGTTTAAGATATTGACTCCATTTCTCATGCGGCCAACACGCGAGTAAACTACGACGTGGGGGAACGAATGACGCGGAAATTGAAGCAGCATCGCCATCGCCCATTGCCTGCCTTTAAACTGTTTTTACGATACGTCGCCCAGTGCACCATTATAACGGTTCTTTGTTAATATTTGTTTTGTATCAATAATTATAGAAATGTTTCCTATATATGGTCCAGTATGTATTTTATTGGAAACGCCATTTTCCAGATGGACAAAAAGGATTTTTTCAATTGCGAGAGACCCGATGTAGCAAAAAAGGGGAAGTCAAAAGACAAAGTGTACGTTTGGAAGTTTCGGAATGAATGATATTCGGTGGTTGTGTGGAAGTGTTTATTTAAAAAAACTTTTTTGTATGCCGTGTTTAATTGGGTTTCTATTTTTTATAAAATCTAAATGAATATCCTTCTCGCGAACAACAGTTTTTCGGTACCTAATATTACAAATGCAACTAAAAATTTCCAAATTCATTTAAAGCCGTTTGACCTTGAAATTTTGAAAATGAATATTCTTAATGTCACCAGCCGCCACTGTTAAAATCACCTTCATTTCATTTGTTTGTTATTAAATGTTTCCGTATACACATATTCTATTACATTTTCTATTATTAGAGTCAATTTTTCTAATTACCAAATAAATGTATTTGTGAACTAAATTTATGTATGTCATTTATTAATGCATATAATCTATAATCTTTATGAGACAGATATGGATTCAATTAGCAAATAAATTTATTAGTAGTTGAAAAACTAGCCCCTCTTCTATTATTTTCTAGCCCTTAAGATAGGAGGACGTGAGAGTGATGAAACTTCGTTTAGTCACTTATCTAAATAAAGATTAAAATTCGCTGGGCTCGTATGTAAATTCGTCAACTAGGAGCGGAGATTCGATGAGTTACTATCTCTAAGTGGGCAAACATAACGGAGCGCCGACCATCGCTCCATGGTACCCTAGCTTTGCTCAGAAAAAAAGAATAACTACATGGTTATAAACGAAGATGGTCATATTGGAGCATCGCCCTTCGCTCCGCGCATAGGTCTGAGCCAAGGCCTGGCACCATAGAACCTAGTTTAGTATTTTCCTTACCCTCGACCATAGTGTTTTAGCACTTGAATCAAATAAAATATCTTCATCGAATGAAGAAGACGTGTTATTATTTAAAGTAAAATTAATGTTAATCCGCTATTCGTTCATAATTAACTGACTTGAAAATGCATACGTCGGAGCGTACGGGGCCATGCTAGGGTCGGAGCGATGGTCGGCGCTCCGTTATATCCGTGCGCGGGAGTCGGAGCGAGGGTCGAAGGTACCGTGCTTTGATCGAAGCAATGGTCCCAGGCGAGGGTCCTCGTTATGTCCGTACCCTAAGAAAACTAGAAATTCGACGCCACTGGACATTCAGAAAATTCGATAACTGCTTTTAATTCCTAGTAGTTTTTCTGAGAAGAAACACTTTATTTTAAAAATCGACCATTCCCGAGTTATTGCTTTTTTTACTTACATTACCGTATCAAGCACTTTAAATGAATTTAAAATAATTCTAGAACTATAACTCACCATAGAAGTTTATATTTTTTTGTTAGAAATTCAAATTTAAATAAAAAGGGCATTCTAGGGGCGCGAATTAAATTTTGCTTGGGGGAGAAGAGCTAAATTTTGAAGTTCCCGTACTGCAATATCGATTTTTAAATGAATCCTATATAATAATAAGTAGCAGACACACATAACATAATACATACATATTGCAAATATTACTCTCATGTCGTGACTAAAACATTTCACAGTGAACTTCGACCTTCGCATACCACCTGCAACTTAGAATAATAACTACTGCACCAACTCGGCACGCTTGGATTTACTATCAGTTTTAATTAATTGGTAAGTATTAATTACCAGTCGAGGACGATTTTGTTCCCGAGCGGAGCAAGGGCTGGCAATAGAGTCCGAGACTGGTAAATTATACTTAACTGCTGCGTAGTGTATAACATTTTATCTGCTCCCGCAGTTCTTTATGGTTCACGAAATAAAGATTAGATCTTATTTTTTGACAATTCTTAATCAATTCATTTTGACATTATTCGAAATGTTGGAAAGTCGCCTTGGTTGTTTGGATTTTGTCGTTTTTAAGGTGTTTATAAACAAAGCTACATAAAAGTTGCAATTTTGCTGGTTTTGAATTATTATATATAAATGAATGATTTTCAAAGAGAAAGTGCAGCAAATGCTGTCTGCGAATTTTTATTGCCCGAGAAGTCGAAAGTGCGCTACGGACGAGCATATAGAAATTTCAAAGAATGATGCCAGAACAAAAATACTGGTGTTTCTGAAATGTCATTGCTAGCATATTTCATGGAGAAGTCAAGAACTTTAAAGT